TATTCTGTGAGAGCGTGGTCCTTCCCCGGTCGAGCCGACCCATTCGTGCTACAACTATATTACTAATATAGCTGCAGCATGGCTCTACCACGTAAAGGGTTTTAGTTTTGTTGCGCAGAACCCTAATTATTTTTTAAAAATATAAGTAACCTATGTTACTCCTTGTAACATGAGCTATCTAACAGTGAAAGTCCCCTCAAAATCGATTTAGCCATTTCGGAGATTAGCCGGAACAAACAGACAGACAGACAAAAATTTTAAAAATTGTATTTTAGTTATAAGTACCATATATACTTTTATATGCAATTAGTAAAAAGCTGTTATTTTGACATTACAAACAGACACTTCGATTTTATTTATTTGTATAGATGTAGTTTATGACATAGTATTTCGCAAAAAATCGTGTACGTTTAGATGTATAGATAGTATAGGCATTTCGGAATTTTTTATTTGTGTAAATAAAATTGTTTCACCGATTGCCACTGAAGTTGATCACACGGCTATTGTGCCATCAGCCATGTGTAAAAGTAATGTTCTTTTTTATGCTTTTTTCGCTTGTATAGACCTAATTAAGTTTAGTTGACATCAAACATCAGTTACAAACGGAAGGATACCTGTTTTTGGTGGGTAACTACGTGTTTTTCTAGGTGTTTTCTTTGAAATTGAGAGTAAGTGACTTTTTTATGCAGAGATTACAAACCTTTTGTACTATTTTTTGTTTTGTAAAAAAAAAATCATTTATATAAGTAGGTACAGCTAAATCACCTTGGAAACCTTGGTTTTTATTAAATTGAATTTTCACCTAATAATAACATTTGTAAATATCAAACAATCAAGAACCTTAATTTGGAAAAAATAAGGTTTATGATTCATTGATATTTACAAATGTTAAATATTATTTAATGTTATACGAATGTAAAAGTAAAGTCGATCTGAAAACGTCTACTTAGTAAGAATAGCAATAGTATAATAATAATAGCAGAATAAGTGTTTTCAAAAGGGAAAAAAACGCCGGCGCTATACGGCGGCGGATTGCCAAAAGACTATTTATTAGCGAACTTTTTTTATGCATGTACGATTTCGAACAGTTTCAAACAAAAATAAACCTTATACCATATCACAAGAGCACATGGTACTTCGTAGGTCTATTCGGCCATGTGATAGTCATAAGACGGCAGTTCAACCATTTTAAGCAAAATTAAACAATAAGACAAACTCAAGTTGTAAATAAAGTTTTCCAGAAATTTATTTACAACTTGAGTTTGTGAGCGATCGCAATGAGTGCTATTTTGTTACTTATTAGACTATTTTTCCACAACATGATTTAAAACCCACAAATTAAAAAGAGTACCATGTACAGTTTAAAAATATGTTGTCAACCCCTAAAAATTTCAAATTTTCAAAATATCCAGAAACGAAGCTGTAGGCATGAACTACTTGCAATATAATGAATGTTTTGTTTTGGATAAATTTTCCAAAAACGCAATGTGAGCGAGTTATAACGATTTAAAAAAAGACACGACTCGCGTATCATACGCCACACACAAAAGTAATCGATGGCACGCTTGGCGTGCCACCCGCACTGAACCGGTTATACGTATATCAAATATTCCACCTCAACACGGGCTTATACAAAAATTTATATTGATCTATTCTTTAGGGACTGCTTTTCCACATATACCCGTTGTATGAAAGATATTGCTTTCTATGTTCTGCGGATATCGACAATCGTGATCTTATTATATGCAGTGTCCTGAATACTTGTATCCATTATGAACGAAACTGCTTTTTTTAAAGGACAATGGTGACAAACGTGCACACAGTCCACACATGGTAAGTTGTTGTTGTGGCCCATAGACATCTACATCTATCCTCGATTACCTCTGTTGTTGCTGTTGTCACCTCTGAGGACTAAGATGGAACGCCTCGTATCCAGTAAAAAGGGTCTCCGGTTCTCTTCACTTACCATATGAAACACAGCAGCGTTAAGCTGCTATTTTACGCTGATATTCTGTGAAGACGTGGTCCCTCTGATCGAGCCGACCCATTCATTTTACAACTATACCAATAATATAGCTGCAGCATGGCTCTACCACGTAAAAACATGTGCAACTTAAAAAAATACAGCTGATAAATAGTACTATTGGTATATTTTTAAATTTAGTCAGGTTATATTGATTTATTTGACGGATAACTTTTATATAGTGATGGAAAAATCAACCCTAAGAGTATAGTGGTTGGTTTTATAGTAAGATAAATGAGTAAATATTAATTAGTATTATATTTTTTATTATCACATACGAGCCGTGGTAGCTACCCGTCGGCACCTACAATGACAAATGTTTCACAATAATATGTTTGCCAAAAAGAAACAATTGCTCTCTGATCACGCGATTATTAGATATGATCGATGCCAAATCGCGGAATCTAATTTAGATTCTAAGAATATGATTTGTATTTTTATAACAATTTAGCTGTGCCGCGCATGCGTTGCAATACATTTTTGTCGGAAACTTTTGAGGTCACGCACACATATACTCACCAAAGTTTCATCGTAATAGGGTAGATAGTAGAGTAAGGAACGTATAATATGGGCATAAATAAAACGGCAAGAAATAAGACCAATTATAAATAAAAATGCATTGTCAATAGAAACATTATTTCCATCTATCGTAACGTTATAAATACTTTAAATGAAATATCAAAGAAGAGATATCTCATTAGTTGCTACAAAAATACAAGAAAATTCCTAAAAGCTATTTTCTTTAATGGCAAATTTTTAGACTAAATTGTTTTTACTATGAGGCTTTTAAAATTAATTAAAAAATAAAAATTATTCATTTTTAAAGTACCTAATATTTAATGAAATTCAATACGCCATTGAAACAAAGTAGAAATTGCCACTATCTGTTGAGAATTTTAGTACGTACATATACGACAAAAATGTTTGGTAGGTTTTTATATTTGCCATAACTTAGAAGAAAAAATCAACCATAAAAAATTACTTTGCGTCACAATTCCTCACCAATTATAAATATAATATGCGTAACTGGGAAGTTTTAAAATACGTAAGTCACCATTTCACAGATTCAAATGGTTTTTTGTCATTTTTGTAAAAGGTTTTTGACATTTTTGCAAAAGCAAACTTAGTCTTGAGACATAATAATTATAAATCTTTAATATTTTATATTTAATGTAATAATATCTATATTATTGATCTGAATAAAAAATACTATGAATATTGCTGAACAAGGGCCTCCCCACAGATTGCCTCATGGAGATTGCCATATCACCCAGCAGATCACCCACGGGACGATATGGGGTAGTAGATATTCTTACAACGCCTCTGCACTAAATCTAAAGCTGTACTTTACACACAATCAATTGTACAAATGAAGTTAATTATTGTTTATTTTTTATTTTACAATGAAGTGAATTGAGTCTAAATAAACGAAAGAATAAAAAGAGTGGTTAAAAATAAATATATATTTAATCATTTAAATATGTCACACCTTATATATTCAATTATTTACAAAGTATATTATAACTAGTATCACTCTCGATTCTGTACTTAGCAGTTGAAGATAACTCTAGATAAAGGTGCAGTTCCTTCATGTTTGTTGCCATTGGAAGCGTTATGTCAAATATATTCGAACGGTATATGACAAAGCCTCCGAATGACTAGAAGGGGCAACTGTGGTAGACATACCACGAAAAATATCGCGAAAGGACTGAAGAGAATTCACGTTCCCAACCACGCCATCAGGAACCATGTCGGTAAAAACGCTACTTGCTCTAACATTATCGCTTTACAATTCCTTTTGCTTCCGGAAAGTTCATAGTTTATTACAACTAATGGAAATAATTATGCTTAAAACTAAAACTTCTTGCATTGCCTTCCTGTGTAGTGCTCAAGTCGTTGAAAACGAATCAGTTATGACCGCCATCTGAAACAAAATAAATTACGTATTATTATTATTATTGTTGTTAACTAACTTCCTGGATGAGATAACATTATCTAAAATTATACCAACAAATATATTTAATGCTTTGTTAATCGGATAACCGGCTAGACTTATCATGCGATGTAATTTATTTTTAATTGTGACTGCTATGTAGGGCATGCAATTCGGATATCCGGATATCCAAATTATTCGGATATTCGCCTAGTTTATTATTCGAATAGTATATTTATAATTATTCGGTTTTTACGAATATTTCGAATACTATCTTATTTTGATTTGTTATAAATATCCGAACGTAAACCTGCTAAGTTACGTGAAAAACATGCGTGTATCCGATTGTGGGTAGTCAGTCATCACGTAGCCAAAGCCGAAAATACAAAAAAAAAGCTACTTAGCATGTGTGCATAGTGCAAACGATTTTACATTTCGTATCTTTGCGATATTGTTGTTGATTTGATTGATTGATATTGAAGGAAAAATTGGAATATTACGGCTGGTCAATACAAAACGATATCTCATGCATAATCTCTGATGGTGCAATCGTAATGTGCACACTAGGGAGAATGGTTCCCTCTTATGGTCAGTTATGTTTGGCCCATGGTATTCAGTGCTACGTCAAAGCTGATACACAGAAGGTTACATCAGCATCACTGTTAACAGACCTTGCGATAGCTCTAACTCTGAGTACGAAATTGATATAGAGAACGAAGATGAAAATGGTTTCGTCATCGAAGCTGACCCCCGTGGGGTCATTCCCAAGCTGGTATATAAAGAATTGATAACTAAAGTCCAGAAAAAAGTAAAATTTCTCAAAGGTTCGCCTACTCGCATGGATATACTAAATTCTTACCTGGAGTCCAAATCTAAAGACACGACACTGATCGATTGCAAGACTCGTTGAAGCACCCTTGCTGATATGATAGCAAGATTTCTAGAATTCAAAGACGCAATTCAAAAGACATTAATTGATCCCAAAGAGAAGACTCAAAAGAGCGAAAATCAAACTTACTAACCGCTGAAATTGCACTTCAATTCATGATGGAAAAATTGGCGATGAACTCAGACGTTATTAGTGGCCAGCTTAAAGAAGCTTTAAATAGAAGAATCTTGCAGAGGAGATACTACACTGGTAAGTACGTTACAGTACTTACATAATCCTACAAAATATTATGCCGAAAGGAATACTCCTCATGCATTTTCAAAGGCATCCCACGGGAAATAATAGCCTTAATTGTAAAAATCAATGAAACTTATTTTTGCAAAGATAAAGCTGCTACAATTGTCTTTGAAGTTGAAGATGACCAGCCTTTAAGAGAAATACAAAGACAGCAGCGCCTTGAAGATGAGAGGGAACAGGAGACAGACAAGACATTTAAGGAACAGTTAAAGACAAAAGTTAATGAATCCTTGCACAATGCTGATGAGGTATCAACAAAACATTTGTCCGAAAACGATGACTTGGAAACATCTGTCAGGGTGGAAATGGCGTTATTTGATCGAAGGGGAAGGGAAGGGCCCTAAAAGCATTCATCTACGTGTTTACGATTTTTTACTTACCATCCCACCTACAAGTGTTGAAGCAGAACGTATATTTTCGGCTAATAGATATTTTTGCAATCATTTGAGATGTTCATTCAATGACGATACGTTAGACCCCCTCAGTTTCCTACGGTTATACTTTATGAACACCAAAAAAGTAAATTTTTGTATTTTTAAGTAAGTGTGGATAATTAAAAAGGTTTCTAATTAAAATGTTTAAGTAATAATAATGTTTCTTTTCACAAACTTAAGCACTATTCGTAAAATTCGTATTATTCGAAGTATTCGAATATTTTTTATTTGGTTATTCGGAAAATCCGAATACCTTTTTTGGACGAATAATGCATGCCCTACTGCTATGAAATTATAATCATTCCATAAAAACGAACACAATCATTTAACAGACGGAGAAACTGTAACATAATACCTACGCACTTTAAAACCCTTTTTTGAAGTGGGTTAAAAAGATAAGCCGTTTCTCCGTTATATTCGAAGTATATATATGATTTTTATCAAATAAAACCGAAACCTTTCCCAACTACGCCTTTGTCTACAAAATTTGTACTGATGTTTTTCTTTTGATAGAATAAGGGTGACAATCGAGCACACAGTCCACCTGATGGTAAGTGGATGCTATGGCCCATAGACATCTACATTTATCCTCAATTAAGAATCAAAATGCAGATGCGTTGTCACGCGTGAGGACTAAGTTGGAATGCCTCGTTTCCAGTAAAAAGGGTCTCCGGTTCTCTACACTCACCATTATATCCTAATACACTGGTATTCTGTGAGAGCGTGGTCCTATTCTATTCGAGCCGACCCATACGTGCTGCAACCACAATATAACTGCAGCGTGGCTCTACCACGTAATAAATGTAATAAGCTCAGATATATAATTCACTTATCCAGCTTGAAAACTTTCTGCAAACCCAAACGTTACGAACGAAAACCTTACTTCTTTTATAAAAATTATATGTTATATTATATTGTAAAAGAAAATAAATAATTCAAAAAATCAAAAACCCGACTGCAAAAAAGACAATTAAAAGTAATGCACCAAAACGATCGCAACAAGATTGAGAATAGAAAACAAAATTGAAATAAAATATTAACAAAGTTTCTAGTAGAGTTTCTTCGGTTTAACAGACTACACTATGAGCTCAAAGCCAAGTTAAATACCCAAATTAAGTTTAGTAGCAAGCGGAACCCATTAATTTTCTTTCGGTTTATAATTTGCAATTGGGTCCCGCCCGCTAATAAGCCATCTAAGAACACTTGGGTTTCTAAGACGGATAATACAATACCTTAATTGTTGAAATCCATTCAATGATTTGGAAGATACGAGGTAATAAAGAAATTTACAAACATACAAGATACACGCGAAAAACATAAACCTTCCTTGGAAGTCGGGTAAAAAGGCGAGTCGAAAAATTCATCATAGGTACAATTATAACTAGATTTTTTTAATTCCTAATTCTAAACTTAACCTATGCTTTTTTCGAATAATTTGCGCATCTTCAATCTGTAAACATACTGAGTATCTGAATACTGGCGTGCGGTGGCGGGGTCAGAGTCCAAGGTTCTATTTAATCACTTGGGTGTCATTAGAGATGACTAAGCGAAATGTCACAAGTGGCAAAGTAAAAAGTTTTGTACAACCGACTTCAATATAAATAAAATGAGAACATCATCAATGTAATAGAGGTCAATTAAATACGCATTATTAAAGATAGCTCAAAAACTACTGGTCAGATCTACATGGAACCACATGAGAAGCAACAGCTTTCAATTTAAAAAAAGTATCATCAACACAGTTCACCTACAAAAAAGATTTGAGTTACCTAACACATATTAAAAGAATACAGTACAGTAGCTCCTCCTTTTTTTTGAAATCGGTTAAAAATCTGAAATCTCATGGCATCCGATAGAAGGCGGTATAACCATCTAGTTTACGCCAGACAAAAAAAAAAGTTAACGCCAGACGTAAAACACCCTGACCGGTGTAGGGAAGCAGCGCCACACATGACGTCTGGCACTGCATCGTCAATCCGTCTGCAAACAGTGGCGTTTGAGGCAAATCCTTTCTAAGCTGGTGGAGGTCCAGCAGTCCAGCAACAGTGTCCAGCAGAAGAATTTTACTCGGGAGAGGTTCATGTCCAGCAGTAGACTTTTACGGGCTTTCATAATGATTAATACCACTGAAGGTTATTATCTTTCGGATCTTAATGACGGAGAGTAGTGATTACGTTACTTGGTGCCCGGTATTGTGACCGCATTTTACACACGTAGAGATATATCCACTAAGTATGCTATTATTTTTTATAGAATAAGGGTAAAAAGGCGGCACACAATCCACCTGATAGTAAGCGGATGCTGTGGCCCATACACACTTAGATACATCTATTCTTGATTAAGAATCAATATGCATATGCATTGTCACCCCTGAGTACCGAGATGGAATACCTTGTTTCCAGTGAAAAGAACCCCTTTGTCGTATCTCCTCAGTTTCAAGGCACTCCCCTTCTTGCCTCAGCCAGTATCGGTATCCTCGGAGTCGACATATCGAGTGACGTGCAGTTTCGTGGTCACTTGGAAGAGAAGGCCAAATTGGCCTCTAAAAAGCTTGGCGTGCTCAGCAGAGCGGGACAGTATTTCATGCCGGCACACCGCCTGCAACTTTACAAGGCGCAGGTTCGGCCTCACATGGAATACTGTTCCCATCTCTGGGCAGGGGCTCCCCAGTGCCAGCTCCTTCCACTTGACCGCATCCAGCGCAGAGCGGCTCGAATCGTCGACGACCGAGCCCTTTCCGATCGGCTCGATTCATTGGCACTGCGAAGAGATGTTGCATCTCTTTGCATTTTCTTTCGCATCTACCATGGGGAGTGCTCTGAGGAATTGTTCGGATTAATCCCAGCCGCCAAATTTCATGAACGCACATCGCGGCAGAACTCCCGATACCATCCACACCATCTGGATGATTGGCGGTCCACCACTGTGCGATTTAGAAGATGTTTTCTTCCTCGCACGACTTCCTTGTGGAATCGATTACCATCAGCGATTTTTCCGGACCGATATGACTTAGGGGCCTTCAAGAAAAGAGCCTACTCCTTTTTAAAAGGCCGGCAACGCATCTGCAATTCCCCTGGTGTTGCGGTTGTTCATAGGCGGCGGTAGTCACTTACCATCAGGTGAGCCGCATGCTCGTTTGCCCCCTCTCCTATAAAAAAAAGTAAAAAAAAAAAAAAAAGTCTCCGGCTGCTGCTGCAATTTTACGCTGGTGTATAAATGGCTTTAGCACGTATAAATAAAAAACCGGCCAAGTGCGAGTCGGACTCGCGCACCGAGGGTTCCGAACAAATCCGTAGGCATATAAGTTTAAAATTATTAAAAATATTTTTATTGTATGATATAACTAATAATTTATGCTTTTCGCAATTTTTCCTTTATCTGTGCTATAATACGTTGATTCGTACCAAATTGTAAGATTCTGAGTTCACGGGAAGTACCCTGTAGGTTTTGATTCCCTTGCGAATGTCGCAGCATAAATTTGAGCACACAGTCCACCTGATGGTAAGTGGTTGCTGTGGCCCATGGGCATCTACATCTATCTTCGTTTGGGAATCAAAATGCAGATGCGTTGTCGGCCGTGAGGACTAAGATGGAATGCCTCTTTTCCAGTAAAAAGGGCTGCGGTTCTCTACACTCACCATACAAAACACTAAGCATTAAGCCGCTATTTTACGCTGGTATTCTGTGAGAGGATGTATCTTTTGATTGCGTTGGCTTAGAAGTTTGAGTTTTTCATAGCTCCAAGGGACAGTAGACTTGAGTATTTGATATGAATTTCAGCTTGATACCTCCACGCGTTTCTGAGAAAAAGGGTCTTGACAGACAGACAGACAGACAGACAGACAGACAGACAGACAGACAGACGGACATCCAAGTGATCCTATAAGGGTTCCGTTTTTTCCTTTTGAGGTACGGAACCCTAAAAAATAAAAAAGAACAATTTAAAAATGTTTAGATACGAAGCGCCATTAAGATTGCTATCTTGACTTAAAAAAACGCATAAGAAGTTACAATTGGATTGCGAGGGACAGTTTTAGATCTTTTTGAATCATATATTACAGACAGAACGCAAATTACTGAAATAAGGAGAATATGTCCTATAAAGTTGACAGAGAAGTTTTATCGATCGACATCCCGAGCTGTGTACCATGGCGTTCCACAAGGATGCGTTTTGGGGCCACTCCCATTTCTTTTGTACATTAATGACCTTCCATCGGTGATATAACAATCTATGGTCCTATTTGCGGATGACTGTACAGTCGTTTATGAAGGAAATAATACTCAAAGCTATGAAATTGAGATTAACAGTTCCATTGGTCTTATAATCGACTGGCTCGTAAAAAATAACTTAAATATACATTTAGAGAAAACTAAAATTATGAAATTTAATTGGCAAAAAGATAGTTTATCAAGTATTAATATTCATTATAAAGGTTCACCAATCTATGAAACGATAGAAACTAATTTTTTAGGAATTATCATTGATGACCAACTGAACTGGAAGGCACAGGTCGATAGTGTTTGCAGTAAATTATATAAATTTTCATACGCCTGTATAAGTTAAATAAGAGAGCAAATACGCAAACACTTTGTATATCATATTTTGGATACGTTTAATCAACACTTAGGTACGGTGTTATGTTTTGGGGAAACTCAGTGGATCGGGAAAAGGTATTCAAAGCTCAAAAAAAGTGCATTCGAGCAATCAAAAATCTACACTGGACAGACAGCTGTAAACCACATTTTAAAGAGCTGCAAATTCTAACTTTTCCCTGTCTTTTTATCTATGAGACGGCTGTGTTTGTCTATAGAAACCTATCATTGTTTGAAAATTTAAATAATAGAAGGTATCCCCTAAGATTAAAAGTTCAACAATCAAAGTCAGTAAAAATGCGAAAAAGTATATTTTGCCTATCCATACCTATCTATAATAAAATACCTAATGATATAAAGAAAATAAATAATATACAAACCTTCAAAAAATCATTAAAAACATTATTAATTAATAAATCTTACTATTCTATTAATGAATATCTTAATAACATAGAAATTACATAATTATAATATTTGTATTTGATTTGACATACCATATATTATATATTTGACATATTATATATTGATAACCCGATGACATCGACATTTTTAATTTGTATTTTTTTTAATATATATATAGTCGTAGATAGGGGATACTATGTCTATGTATATAGTTTATTTCGTGACATTAACTTAAGATGTAGTATTTATTTTTGACTCATGTATTTAACAATAGAAATAATAATTTGAAAAGATGACATTTTTATTTACTTCGGTTTCTTTCTTTTTTCTCAATATAGACGTAAAGGCGCCATTACGAAATGTGTTATTTGTCATGGGTATCATTGCACGATGCTTTTCACTTTTGAATATTTAATACTACATACACATATGATTATGGTATTTTTATAATGTGCAATCAATTTTAAAATTATTACTTTTGCTTCTATTGACAATATCGTAATGAATATTTGTACACCACACTGTGGTAGAATACACGATACCTAATGTAAATTTTACGAACACCTAACTTACTGTATTCACAAATAAATAAATGAATTTGATAATGTTGACAAACGAGCACACAGTCCACACATGGTAAGTTGTTGTTGTGGCCCATAGACATCTACATCTATCCTCGATTACCTCTGTTGTTGCTGTTGTTACATGTGAGGACTAAGATGGAACGCCTCGTATCCAGTAAAAAGGGTCTCCGGTTCTCTTCACTTACCATATGAAACACAGCAGTGTTAAGCTGCTATTTTACGCTGATATTCTGTGAAGACGTGGTCCCTCTGATCGAGCCGACCCATTCATTCTACAACTATACCAATATTATAGTTGCAGCATGTCTCTACCACGTAAAAACCTGTGCAACTTAAAAAAAATACTGCTGATAAATAGTACAATTGGTATATTTTTAAATTTAGTCAGGTTATATTGATTTATTTGACGGATAGCTTTTATATAATGATTGAAAAATAAGCCCTCAAAGTATAGTGGTTGGTTTTATAGTAAGATAAATGTGTAAATATTAATTAGTATATTATTTTATACTTTCACATACGAGCCGTGGTAGCTACCCGTCGGCACCTACAATGACAAATGTTTCACAATAATATGTTTGCCAAAAAGATACAATTGCTCTCTGATCACGCGATTATTAGATATGATCGATGCCAAATCGTGGAATCTAATTTAGATTTTAAGAATATGATTTGTATTTTTATAACAATTTAGCTGTGTCGGGCATGCGTTGCAATACATTTTTGTCGGGAACTTTTGAGGTCACGCACACATATACTCACCAAAGTTTCATCGTAATAGGGTAGGTAGTAGAGTGGGAATGCATATGGGCGTAAATAAAACGGCAAGAAATAAGACGAATTATAAATGAAAATACATTGCTTATAGAAACATTATTTCCATCTATCGTAACGTTTTAAATACTTTAAATAAAAGATCAAAGAAGAGATATCTCATTAGTTGCTACAAAAATACAAGAAAATTCCTAAAAGCGATTTTCTTTAATGGCAAATGCTTAGACTAAATTATTTTTACTATGAGGCAATAGCATTTTCCTTTAAAGTAATATTTAATGAAATTCAATACGCCATTGAAACAAAGTAGAAATTGCCACTATCTGTTGAGAATTTTAGTAGGTACATATAAGACAAAAATGTTTGGTAGGTATTTATATTTGCCATAAGAGCCACACTTAGAATAAAAAATCAACCATAAAAAATTGCTTTGCGTCACAATTCCTTACTATTTATAAATATAATATGTGACTCTGGGAAGTTTTAAAATACGTAAGTCACCATTTCAGAGATTCAAATGGTTTTTTGTCATTTTTGTAAAAGGTTTTTGACATTTTTGCAAAAGCAAACTTAGTCTTGAGACATAATAATTATAAATCTATAATATTTTATATTTAATGTAATAATATCTATATTATTGATCTGAATAAAAAATACTATGAATATTGCTGAACAAGGGCCTCCCCACAGATTGCCTCATGGAGATCTGCCATATCACCCAGCAGATCACCCACGGGACGATATGGAGTAGTAGATATTCTTACAACGCCTCTGCACTAAATCTAAAGCTGTACTTTACACACAATCAATTGTACAAATGAAGTTAATTGTTGTTTATTTTTTATTTTACAATGGAGTGAATTTAGTCTAAATAAACGATAAAATAAAAGAGTGGTTAAAAATAAATATATATTTATACATTTAAAATATGTCACACCTTATATATTTAATTATTTACAAAGTATATTATAACTAGTATCACTCTCGATTCTGTACTTAGCAGTTGAAGATAACTCTAGATAAAGGTACAGTTCCTTCATGTTTGTTGCCATTGGAAGCGTTATGTCAAATATATTCGAACGGTATATGACAAAGCCTCCGAATGACTAGAAGGGGCAACTGTGGTAGACATACCACGAAAAATATCGCGAAAGGACTGAAGAGAATGCACGTTCCCAACCACGCCATCAGGAGCCATGTCGGTAAAAACGCTACTTGCTCTAACATTATCGCTTTGCAATTCCTTTTGCTTCCGGAAAGTTCATAGTTTATTACAACTAATGGAAATAATTATCCTTAAAACTAAAACTCCTTGCATTGCCTTCCTGCGACTAACACTAGTTCAAGTCGTTGAAAACGAATGAGTTATGACCGCCATCTGAAACAAAATAAATTACGTATTATTATTATTATTGTTGTTAACTAACTTCCTGGATGAGATAACATTATCTAAAATTATACCAACAAATATATTCAATGCTTTGTTAATCGGATAACCGGCTAGACTTATCATGCGATGTAATCTATCTTTAATTGAGACTGCTATGAAATTATAATCATTCGATAAAAATTAACACAATCATTTAACAGACGGAGAAACTGTAACATAATACCTACGCACTTTAAAAGAAATTAATATTAGCCCTTTTTTGAAGTGGGTTAAAAAGATAAGCCGTTTCTCCGTTATATTCGAAGTATATATATGATTTTTATCAAATAAAACCGAAACCTTTCCCAACTACGCCTTTGTCTACAAAATTTGTATTGATGTTTTTCTTTTGATAGAATAAGAGTGACAAACGAGCACACAGTCCACCTGATGGTAAGTGGATGCTGTGGCCTGTGGCCCATAGACATCCACGTTTATCCCCAATTAAGAATAAAAATGCAGATGCGTTGTCACCCCTCAGTACTAGGATATAATGCCTTGTTTCCAGTAAAATGGGTCTCCTGATGTATATAGCTGCATCGTGGCTCTAGCACGTATAAAAAAATAAAAAATAACAATTTTAAAATGTTTAGATTCAAAGCTCCATTGAGATTGATATCTTGACTTGAAAAAGAAATAAAAATGGATAAGAAGTTACACTACTATATCTATATGGGAAGGAATATAGTACCGTATCTAATGACCGTAGACACTAAATAAAATTCTTAGAAATAATTGATGTCACGTTTTGTTATTGCGGTAAATAATCGAGAAACACTTCTTATCTGTACGATTATTAGGAAAATTACATGCTTGTGCAAAAAAAAGCAAAATACAGTCTACCAAGTATTAAATATTTTGATATTTTGTACTCTGTATCATATCCGCCATATTACGTTAATTAAACTCCGTGTTTGAAGAAATATCTGATTTAAATTATGTTGGAAACAATAACGAGGTTATCTAAACGGCAATACTTTTAATAGTTTTATTTTTTTTAAATAGTACAAACGAACTCACAGTACACTTGATGATAAGTGGCTACTGCAGTCAATGGACACAGACCAGCCAACTTCATACAAAGAAGGCTATGGATGCGTTGTCACCTCTGAAATATTAATTATTCTGTGCTTCTGAGTACTAAAATGGAATGCCTCAGAGCCTGTTATTATGCTGGCTCTTTATACGCTTCAGTTCGGAAAACAGCAGTGTTAATTGGCGGCAGAAATAAAAAGAGGGCGATATGTACCTAGAGGGAATCAAGCTGAAGAGGAGTCCTACCGCCTAATTGTACTTATAGTATTGTAAACAGTACTCAACGCATTATGTGTGAGTTTAATTCGCATACAAATCAATAAATACAACATTATATGGCCTAGTAATAGCTATTGAAACGTTATATTTAATACCGCAATAAACCACATATTATATGAACTTGTAACACTGTGCGATGTTATAGTGAATGTTTGGTAAAAGTATCTTTGTACGATTATATATATATGTATATGGTTCAACTTTTGGACGAATTGTAAAACGTCTGTTATGAAGCACACGCTAGTTAAAGTGATTAACAGTATTCTAGCGGAAGAGCTATACATTGATCAACCTCGAACTCATTGATCACACTCGAATACCAGCGCAAAATGGCAGCATAGGATTATGCTGCCATTTTGTGCTGTTTTGTATTGCGAGTGAAGAGAACGGATAAGCTTTTTACTGGTAAAGAGGCGTTCTGTCTTAGTTCTCAGTGAATCACGTTCATTTTGACTCTTAATAAGCAATTAATCTAGTTGCGTCTTTGAGGCACAACATCCTCTTACCGTCAGGTAGAATATGTGCTCACGTGTGACCCTTACATTTATATAAAAAACTAGCTGTTCCCCGCGACTTCGCCCGCGTGTAATTTAGGATTTTAGTTTTGTTGCGCCGAACCCTAATTCTTTTTTAAAAACATAAGTAGCCTAAGTTACTCCTTGTAACATGAACTATCTAACAGTGAAAGTCCCGTCAAAATCGGTCCAGCCATTTCGGAGATTAGCCGGAACAAACAGACAGACAGACAAAAATTTTAAAAATTGTGTGTTTATTAAAAGTACCATATATACTTTCATTTGAAATTAGTAAAAATTTTGACATTACAAATAGACACTTCAATTTTAGTTATTTGTAAAGATGTATAGATAGTATAGGCATTTCGGAATTTTTTATTTGTGTAAATAAAATTGTTTAATAATATGTATATCAAATAATCCACCCCAACACGGGCTTATACAAAAATTTATATTGATATATTCTATAGGGACTGCTTTTCCACATGTACCCGTTGTATGAATGATATTGCTTTCTATGTTCTGCGGATATTGATAATCGTGATCTTATTATATGCATTGTCCTGAACACTTGTATCCACTGTGAACAAAACTCTGCTAAATATAAACATACAAATTACTTAACACCAGCAATTATGTGCATGGTTTATTTTAAAAATTATTATATTTATTGATAAAAAAATGTTACACGTTTATTTGATAATAAATATTTATTAGTTTGTGGTATGTTGGGGAGGTCAATTTGATACAAACACTTCACTCACCATACGAAGCATATGGTGGCATTAACATATGGATTGCATTCCATCTTATGTCTATTCCAATATAGAAAAAAAAATATAACAGTGAAAAAAGTAGTGTTACTCATAGATAATATTAAGATAAAAATTATTCATAAGACAAAACACAACATTTTTTATAGGATAAAGTTACATAGGTGATAAACGAGCACAAACTCCACCTGATGGTAAGCGGTTGCTGTAGCCCATAGAACTCTACATCTATCCTCGATTACGAATCAAAATGCAGATACGTTGTCACCTCTGAGTGCTAAGATGGAATGTCTCGTGTCCAGTAAAAAGGACCTCCTGTTCTCTACACTCACCATACGAAACACAGCAGCGTAAAGCTGCTATTTTACGTTGATATTCTGTGAGGGCGTGGTCCCTCCGGTCGAGCATTGATTCTACAACTTTACCAGTAATATAGCTGCAGCATGGCTCTACCACGTAAAAACATGTGCAACTTAAAACAATATAACTGATAAATAATACAATTGCTTTATTTTTAAATTTAGTCAAGTTATAATTTATCCGATTCATAACGTTTATACAATAATTCAAAAATCAGCATTAAGAGTATTTTACAGTAGTTGATTTCATAGTAAGATAAATGTGTAATTATTAGTTAATATATTAATTTTTATTTTACTGGTACACAAGAGCCGTGGTTGCTCAGGGGAAAAGTGTTCGCTTTAAAATTTCATAGTACACGAGAAAACTGAGCTCTTTACCCTTCGGCAACTACAATGACAAATGTTTCACAGTAATATGTTTGCCAATAAGATACAATTGGTCTCTGATCACGCGATTATTAGATATGATCGATGCCAAATCGCGGAATCTAATTTAGATTTTCAGAATATGATTTGTATTTTTATAACAATTTAGCTGTGTCGGGCATGCGGTGCAATACATTTTTGTCGGGAACTTTTACGGTCACGCACACATATACTCACCAAAGTTTCATCGTAATAGGGTAGGTAGTAGAGTGGGAACGCATATGGCCATAAATAATTTTAAATTAAAAATTTTGTACAGCCGACTTCAATATAAGTTATTTAAGAATAACTCAAAAACTATTGGTCTGACCTTGATCAAATTCATATGGGACCACACGAGAACTATCAGCTTTCATATAAAAGAAGAATCATCGAAATCAGTTCACCCAGTTCAAAGTTATGAGGTGACACACACATAAAAAAAAACATACAGTCGAATTGAGTACCGTCTCCTGTTTGGAAGTCGGCAGATAAAACAGCAAGATATACGACAAATTATGAATGAAAGTACATTGCTAATAGAAACATTATTTTCATCTATCGTAACATTTTAAATACTTTAAATAAAAGATCAAAGAAGAGAAATCTCATTAGTTGCTGCAAAAATACAAGAAAATTCCTAAAAGCGAGTTTCTTTAATGGCAAATGTTTAGACTAAATTGTTCTTACTATGAGGCAATAACATTTTTTCTTTTTAACGTAATATTTAATGAAATTCAATATGCCATTGAAACAAAGTAGAAAATTGTTGCCACTGGCTGTTGAGAATTTAAGTAGGTATATACATATAAGATAAAAATGTTTGTTAGTCTTTTATATTTGCTATAAGAGCCACACTTAGAAGAAAAAATCAACCGTAAAAAATTGCTTTGCGTCACAATTCCTCACCATTTATAAACATTATACGTGAGACTGGGAAGTTTTAAAATAGTTAAATCACCATTTCACAGAATCGAAAGGTTTTTGATATTTTTGCCTTCTGAATAACTTAAGTCTTGAGAAATAATTATATATCTTTAATATTACAGATTGCCTCAAGAAGAGCTGCCATAGTTGCCACGCTTGACAAGTGGGTTTCAACCGTTGTTTGTTATTGAAATTCAGCTGTTATCAAGAAGATGCTTCTGCCAACCTCTTGTTTCAGTTTCCTGCTTTCGCCTTTTACGACACCCACGACACGATATGGGGTAGTGGATATTCTTACAACGCCACTACTCTAAAACTAAAGCTGTACATTACACACTAGAAATTTCTCATGTACCGTGAAAACGTTTAACATACATAAAAATAAAAGGTATATTTCTACATGAACAGACACCCAGAAGCGAAACAATCATTTGATGGCCATCCGCGGCCTGCTGTTAAATCCATAAACCTAGAACTGCGCTTCGGAGATTGAAGAATTTCTTAAAAAAAATATACAAGTCGCGAAACATGTTACTTTTTGTCACAAAGAAATTATAAAATGTAGTCTTTCTATGAACTCAGTTGCAGATGTCTAAATGAGGTTGCAGCTACGGTTAGTCACTTGCCGTTAACTCGTTGCTCACTTTTATTTA